TGGGTGCTCACCATGACCTACACCGTATGGATGTAGGAATGGGTGCCCACCATGACCTACATTCCACAGACATGGCATTGGGTGCCCGCTATGACCTGCACCCTATAGACATGACATTGGGTGCTCATCATGACTTACACCGTATGGACGTAGGAATGGGTGCCCCCTGTGACCTACACCCTATGGATGTAGGAATGGGTGCCCACCATGACCTACATCCTATGGACATGGCATTGGGTGTCCACCATGACCTGCACTCCATGGTTGTAGGAAAGGGTGCCCACCATGACCTGCATCCCATGGACACGGCATTGGGTGCCCACCATGACCTGCGTCCCATGGATGTAGGAAGGGGTGCCCACCATGACCTGCATCCTGTGGACATGGCATTTGGTGCCCACCATGACCTGCACCCCATGGACAGAGCCCCAAGGGCTCCCCCTGTGCCAATGGGACACAGGACCTTGTGCCCACCACGCACCCACTGGGTGATAGGCTTGGGTGCCCATCATGACCTGCCCCCCATAGCCATGAGACTGGGTGTCCACCACGATCCACACCCCACGGACACGGGACGCCCACCCTGCGCCAACAGCGACGCCGCTGTGCGCCCACCGCACCCCACAGCCACCCATGCCTGGGTGCAGGTGCCACCCTGCGCCCCGTGGGTGTCCACCCCACGCCGCGGGGCACTCACAGAAGTCGCTGTGCCGCCGCTGCCGGTGGTAGGTGCCGGCGCCGCGCTGGCCCTTGCCGTGCGCGGCCACCTTGCCCGTGCCGTTGGCCACCTCGCTGGGCGCCCGCACCCGGGCCAGGGACAGGGTGCTGCCCGTGCGCGACTCGCCCGCCTCCACCTGCGAGAGCCCCCAGCGCCCGTCAAGCCGGGCCACGCCGGGCACCCATGGGTGCCCCCGGGCGCCCGTCTCACCTCGTTCTTCCTGCCCAGCAGGAGGTAGGTGGCCGTCACCTCGTTGTACTTCTGGTTGCTCAGGGACTCCTTGATCTCCTCCCGGCTGTAGCCCATTCCCACCATCACCTCTGGGGGCGCACGGGTGAGGGGGCACCCCGAGCACCCTGCCCGCGCCGCCGCCGCAGCCACGCCGGGGCGCGCGGGCGGCGCCGGGCGCTCACCGATGCGCTTGGCGTCCCCAAAGTCCTCCTCGGGCTCCTTGTAGGGCTTCAGCTCGTCGCCCTCGTAGCCGATGTTGATCCACTTGTCCTTCATGATTTGCTGCCACGGGGCCGAGCGCCACGTTAGGGGGGCCCCACGCCGTGGTGGGGGGACATAAACACCGTCACGGGGGGCTGGGAGGGCACCGCGGGTGGCACTGCGGGGGCACCCCCAGCGCTGGCACCGGGGATGTCACCGGTGACGCCCAAGGCCACAAGGAGGTCGTTAGGGGGGCCCTAAGCAGCACTAGGGGTGACAGGGGCGTCTCGAGGACCCTTGGGTGCCACTAGAGGGCACAGGGGCCCCACGGGACGCGTCCCCAGGGCGTGCGCAGGTGCCACCCGCGGGCGCGCGCGGCCTCACCTCGAGGGTGCAGCGCTTGGCCGGGTTCAGCACCAGGAAGCGGCGCAGGATGTTCTCGCAGTCGGTCGACATGTAGAAGGGCACCCGGTACTTGCCCCGCAGCACCCGCTCCCGCAGCTCCTGCGGGCGGCACAGGGCGCGGTGGCACCGGGGCGGCTCTGCCAAGGGCCCCGGGCACGGAGAGCTCCCCCTCTACTGCTTGGGGAGCCTCCTGCTCCAAAGTGTGACCCCCAGGCCCCCTGGCACCTCCTCAGATCCCCTTTGCCCCCGCGGGCACAGTTGAAGGGCATGGAGACACCAACCAGGGTGCCCAGGATGTCAACCGGGTGGCCCACGTTGAGGTTGTGCCCATCCACGAGCGTCAACCAGCCCACGAAGGCGTCCAGGGTGATGCCCAAGACGCCCACCTTGAGATTGCGCCCATCAAAAAGGATCATTCAGCCCACCAAGGCGTCCAAGAATGTCAGCCAAGGTGTCAACTTGGTGTTACGCCCATAGAAAGGCAGAGAGACACCAATGAGGGTGCCCAGGATGTCACCTAAGGTGCCAACTTTGAGGTTGTGCCCATACAAGAGCACTGCCCAACTCATCAGAGCATCCAGGATGTCACCTAAGGTGCCAACTTTAAGGTTGTGCCCATACAAGAGCATCGCCCAGCCCATCAGAGCGTCCAGGATGCCAACCAAGGTGCCCACCTTGAGACTGCAACCAAGAAAAAGCATCATCCAGCCCATCAGAGCGCGCAGGATGTCACCTAAGGTGCCAACATTGAGGTTGTGCCCATACAAGAGCATCGCCCAGCCCATCAGAGCACCCAGCAAGACACCTACAGCGCCCACCTTGCCACTGCAACCACCCGAGAGCACCGAGCAGTGCCCAGGGCCGCGGCGCCCACCTTGAGGTTGTGCCCGTCGAAGGGCAGCGAGCCGCTGACCAGCGTGTAGAGGATGACGCCCAGGCTCCAGATGTCCACCTCGGGCCCGTCGTACTTCTTGCCCTGGAAGAGCTCGGGCGCCGCGTAGGGCGGCGAGCCGCAGAACGTGTCCAGCTTGGAGCCCAGCGTGAACTCGTTGGAGAAGCCGAAGTCGGCGATCTTGATGTTGGCGTCGGCGTCGAGCAGCAGGTTCTCGGCCTGCGGGCGACGCGGCACCGTGTCCCCGGGGAGGCCACCGAGGGCGCGGGGTGGGCGCCGCGGGTGCCGCGCTCACCTTCAGGTCCCGGTGCACGATGTTCTTCTGGTGGCAGTAGTGCACGGCCGAGACGATCTGGGGACACCGCTGGCATCAGCCTGGTGGCCTCGGTGGCCCCTGGTGGCCCTCTGTCCCCTCCCCGGTGCCCGCGGTGCCCCCCTGCGCACTGAGGTGCCCATTGGGACCCCCCTCGCCCTCCTCGGCCACTCGCTGGCCCCGATCGATGTCCCGGCCGGGCGCCCCGGGGCGGGGATTGATCTGCCCACGTGTCCCCGGCACGTGTCCCCAGGGCCACCCTGTCCCCAGCGCCCGGTGTCCTGCACAGCCCCCCGTGGTGATGCCAGGCCGATGCCACCTGCCCCGTGTCTGCTCCCTGGGGATGTCCCCAACCCCACACCAGGGAAGTGTCACCCCGCTTGTCCCATGCGAGGTCTCCAGGATGTCCCCAGGCCCAGACCACAGTGCTGCTGTGTCCCCACGATGTCCCCAGCGCCAGGCCACGGTGCTGCCGTGTCCCCCATGACGTCCCCAGCCCCCCAGGACAGCGCCACCCCCTTTGGCCACGCCAGGCCTCCACCATGTCCCCAAATCCATGCCACCGTGCCAGCACGTCCCCCGCGATGTCCCCAGCCCCGCGACAAAGGGGACCCTCATCCCCCGCGACGTCCCCAGCCCGGTGCCACCAGCCTGGCGCCTCCGACCTGTCGGAACTTGGCCCGCGCCTCCTTCTCCTTCATCCTCCCGTGGGACACCAGGTAGTCGAAGACCTCCCCTGCGGAGACACCCATGGGTGACAGCGCCCGGCCACCCCCTGGTGTCCCCCAAGCCCACCCTGGGGACCCCGTGGGGACAATACGGGGCACAGGGTGCTCACCGGCGCTCGCGTACTCCATCACCAGGTAGAGCGTCTTCTCCGTCTCAATGACCTCGAAGAGCTTCACTGCGGGGACACGGTGGCATCGGTGGGTGGCCCCAAGCACCCACCCGGCACGCGGCGTCACCAAAAGTGTCACCCCGCGGGGTGCCACCATGGCCACCATGGGGTTCCCGCGGGTGCGGATGACACCGGAGCCGGCGTCCCCAACGCGCAGGACGTGGTGCCACCGCATGGCGGGGGGTGGGTGCTGCGGGCACCCTTGGGTGCCCCCCACCCTGGGGTGCCACTCACCGATGTTGGGGTGATTGAGCCCCTTCATGATCCGCACTTCCCGGAAGAGCTACGGGAAAACGGGACGGGATGGAGGCACCGGGGACAGATCCAAGGACCCTCCGGGGGCTCCCTAGGGTGCCCCCCTGCCCCTTGGGGTGCTCCCCACCCTGGGGTGCCCCCCACCTTCTGCAGGCTGGTTGGGTTCAGCTGCGTCTTGTCGATGATTTTTATGGCCACCTGCGAGGGAAGCGGGTGATGGGCAGGGGGTGCGGGGGTATGGGGTATGGCACCCCCCCCAGCCTGCCATGGGTGCCCATCTGCCCCCCAGAGACACCCAGGGGTGCCCATGTGCCCCAAATGCCCCCCAGGGGCTCCTGTCTGGCCCTCAGGGACACCCACACACCCCACATCCCCCCTGCCAGGGATATCCCCCGTGCCCCAAATCTACCCCCCCAGGAGCCCCATTGCCCCCCAGGGATGCCCCCCAAGGGTGCCCACA